TTATATAAAAATATATAATATTTAAAGAATATATATAAAAAATATATAAAATGTTTTATTTGAATATTTTATGTTATTTTATGTTATTTTATGTTATTATAACATTACAAAATTTTTTTTATAAACGTTTATGCAAATAAAAATACTTTATAGGATGTATATTGTTATTAATACAAATATTTTCTTTCTTTTCCTTATCTCTCGTCAAAGAGATCTCCCCACTTAACCATGAAAATCAACTGCGCATGCGCGATTGAACAAAGATGCAGATGGGCGTCTCGTTTTCTGTCTCTTTTTATGTGCTCACGCATTCTTAGCTGGCTCTAAGATTATCAGAAAAGCGCGACCAGCTTATGGCAGTATCGCAAAAGTACTAGAAAATATTAAAAATGGCGTCGAATGGCCAATCATAAGTTTGATTTATTCGGCAGCCATTTATAATAGCGATAAATCAATTTATGATTGGCCATTTGCGAGTCCAATCAGGACTCGTAACACCGGTCGCGCTTCTCTGATAATCTAGGACTCTAGTACCAGGCTGTATAGCTCCTCGTGGGTAGTCATTTTTAGAAGATGTAAATTTTGTAATGGCTCGAATATCGCGAAGAAATTTGCCGAATTTGTTGCGCACCTGTGCTGGCTGTGCTTAGCGTTCAATTACACAGAACTTCAGAATTTGATCGTCATGACCCTTGTTTGAAGGCTAGTGCCATAAAAAAAAAAGTAGAAGACGAACGCGATGTTTTCGAGATATATCTTTTTATAAAATGATATATATCTGTTTTATTAAATTGAGTATTATTTAATAAAATTGAATGATATATAATGGAAACAGAAGAACTTTGTAGCGTAAATATTTCTCCGTTTGTGACGAGTCCGTTCGCGACACAATGGTCATCTGATAATCAGATTTCTATAATTACGGACAAGGGCGTCCACGTGCTCGTAAGTTACGCTTTTACATCGTTGCAAAAGAATTAATCTTCTTCAGTGTTGCATTTATATCGAAAGGGAGATTGAGCGATAAGGAGTTACCGTAATTTAAGCGAATTTTATGTATATACACTTGCATCATGAAATTTTCAATGTTTATACGTATAAATATATGCAGAACTGTGTAACTGTTAACTTCGTAACCTGATCTTGATTATGATGCTGTTTTACAGGAGTTAGAACCTTCGCCTATGTCGCCGAATCCAGTCTTCAAGTTTGCTCGTTCTTTCATATATCCTCCCGACATTTTGGCAACAAGTACATTTATAGATGAAGCAGACTCTTTGATATGGAATCTGATGCGTGAAGAGATTTATTCACTTCTCATGGATGATATAATCATGCCGAAATTAGACGGAGTAATTGATAAGTTCCCTAGAATAGTCAAGGCAATGTGGTCTCCAAAAAATTTGATCTCCCCTAGTCAATGCGTATTAGCAATATTAAATTCGGCAGGTGCGATTGAATTGCTGCATAAAGTTTCCAACAATTGGTACTCCATATGTGATGTTTCATCCCTTCGATTAAAAATTATACAAAATGAAATAAAAAGTAATCTTAATAAATGTAATTTTTATAAAAAATCAAGTAATCAAAGTGCAAAGTTAGCTGAGAACATAAAGAAATTGCAAGCTTGTTCTATGACATGGAGCAAACTTTTCAAAACAGAAGAAACTTCCTTTGCATATCTCTCCGTAGCTTATCGTAGTGGCGATATATTGATTTGGAAGATTCCCAGAATATCAAATTTTATAAAAAGCATTGAACCTGTGTATTTCGGTGTAATAGATTTAAACAGTACATCAAAAATTAATGTATTATGTTGGATTACTATTAATGCTAACGAACATCTGATGATTGTTGGATACCTTGACGGTAGAATATGTAGTGTAAAGTTAACAGATAAGAATAATGATTTGCAAATAGTATCGATTGAAACATATATTGATTCTGATCATATAGCAGTTAATTATTTATACATGATTTCTCAAGATGAATCAAATATAAAGATTCTTGCCATTAAAGGTTCTTTTATTTTGTTGCTATCTATAAATTCGGCAGGAGAATTGAATAATATGCGACACATACCTGTACAAGGGCTTATTACAGGTAAGAATTCTTCAGAATTGTTTGCAATTAAATTTTACAAAATATATTTTTATAGTCCTTTACTTTTGCCTTATATAAATGCTCTTTGATTAATTTTTTAAAATTGTAAATACAATGCATTATTTGTCGTTACATATGTTTTGTTGTTTCAGGTATAAGTCCTATTATTGCTGAGCAATTCTTGGTCACCACGCAGAATAGTCATACTTTCATCATTGATACACAATCGAACGATTTAGTTTATATTAATATTAAAAATCATTTACCACAGACACGTGTCCAATATTTCGGGCTTGCTCATTCGCCAAATAAAGTAATATTTGTAAATATAACCAGTCCAAATACGGTATATGATCATTTAGTGACGAGAGAACCAAGTATAGTGCATATGTTCACTTTAAGAGGTATATGCGATCCATTATCTATTATTAATAATAGCGCAAATCTCGGAAGCATCTGGGATTGTATGGAAGTTCTTAGACTGAAAGCTGCCAAGGCGAAGGACCCGTGTACGGTACTTTGTCCAATTCCGAAGAAGCTCGAGTCGCTGTCACTTTACAAACTGCAAGTATCAATGTGGATGACAGTAATAATGAACGTGTGCACAACAAAGAAACCAATGCCGAATATCGATCACATAAGAGAGTCTAATATAACGGCACTTCCGTTAATTTTTGTACATTCCGCTTGTACGTATCTCGAAAATTTGTTGGAGAAGAACATACTGTCGGAGACTCAGATATTTACCGTGTTCTTGTTAAGAAAGTATCTGGAAATATATGAAGGTGTACCGTCGACTGAGGATTCAAAGAACGAAAAAATAAATCAACGCATTCGAGATATACTGAATAAGACCACATTCTATTCGAATCAAATTGAGAAGTGCAATCTATGTAACGAAACGATAGACGGAATGTGGCACGTTAGAGAGTGTCCGCGAGGACACAAGTTACCTAGATGTTGCATGACATTATTGCAGATAATGCTGTTGGAATATCGTGTCTGTCCGATATGTGGCCAAATCTTTCATCCGTGTTTGGAAGACGTGTACGAGGAGCCGCAATGTCAGTTCTGCGATGTACCTGTTTTACGCAGCTCGTATGATTTTGATGCAAAAAATTCAAAATTGTACGGGAGGAATTTGTCACTACCGCGAATTAGCGACATTGCAGAATTGTCGAAAGATCCGGAATCAGAAGAGCCATCCGATAAGCAAAGACCAAGTAAATGGAATACGTCACACACATATTCTGTAATTGTGAACGATGATGATGAGTCGGGTAAAATTACGGAAAAATGGGAGGAATTTTAATTGTTATATTAGACATTAAATTAATATCTAATGCCTATATATAAGAATATGTTTATATTTACGCGTGTATTTATTTTCATCATTGTAGATAGTTTCTACATAATTACATATTATGAATTAGGATTCTAATTTTGGCGTGGAAAGAGATATATTTTTGAACTAGGTATATTTAGAACTGTATTGACGTAGGTTGTAGAGAAATGAAATAATTAAAAGTTTTGTCATTAATGTACATGTATATTATTTTGGATATGTTACTATATAGTATTTACATTGAACTTATTTAAGAATATAATTTTCAGGATATTTTAAAAGTTGAGGAAAATCGTCTATTTCCTTCTGTGGAATATGATTTAGTTGAATGGGAACAGTTCTTAGCTGTTTGATTTGATTACCAATATTTTTTAACATATCTTCGGGTATATTTTCATCCGGGAATATATGTAGTCGTTGCATATTATGCCTTCGTTGTAAGTTTTTCGGCAATGCTCTATATATAGCTTTCTCTACAATCTGTGTTTAAAAAAAATTATAGATATGCACATATATTATATATATATATAATGTAATTACGTAATTTAACATTAATATTTTATATTGTGTATTTTGGAATTATGAGTTATCATTACCAAAGTTGGATCCTTATAATGTAATTCCCATGCAAGAGTCCAAGTGGCACCTCCATGATATGTATTATGATGAAAGTATACACGTTTTCGCCATTCGTCTCCGCGTAAAGCAATTTCCTTGCTGTTTATTACTATCACATGGTCGCCGCAATCGCCTGTATAAAAATTATATATTAGTAAAAAAATACACACGCACGCACAAATATATCAACAAGGTACTGTTAACCCTCTGCCCAGAATATCGGTCATTATGACTGCTAAGATTTTGACTCAAATTGTGTTCTGAATTATCCCATTCCAAATGACCAAAGACCAAAAATTAGTTGAAAAGTGCAATAGCCCCTCAAAAAGTGAATGAATCTCGTGGTTTTCTGTAATAGTGGTCATTATGACGGGGTGTTCCATGTAACCACCCATCCAGGAGTGTTCCAGGTAGAGGGTCAGAGGGTAAAGAATGTCACTAAGCAAATTTTCAGGGACCTCAAAGGAGTCTGGGAGAGTTAATTGAAGAGTATCACATTATTGATATAAATTTGTGATTATTAACATAAATATTTGAATAATGAATTAAATAATTTTTTTATTAAACATACTTTATAATACATAAAGTATATTAAATTTCATAAGTATGCATATCTATAATTTATATCATATATAAATATATATATGATATAATGGCGTTAATGGGAAGGCTGCAAAAAAATCAGTCTGGGAACTTATGGACCGCACTGTGTGTATAGTGTGTGTGTTCGCGCGCGCGCACACACAATTTTTTTTCTAACATCTTTTATGGATAATTAGACACAAATGGTAATTATAAAAAAGCAGTTTTAAATAAAATTAAATATTAGCAAGCTGTAAATATATGTAAAGTCTAAAAAACATTGGAATATATCATAAAATTAATATTATATCATAGACTAATTGTTTAAATTTTTACAGCTAACTCCCATAAGATTGTCGGTCTTTAATAATGCCTTGTTGATGATGACACTTACTCAGTGGATGATATATTGGCTTGTACAATCCCAAGAGATAATGTTTTATTCTTTCAGCACTCTTATACGGATCTTGCCATTTTGCATCGTACACGTGCCAAATACGGGCAAATGTTCCCCAATGCTAAAAATAAATTAAAAACAAACGTAAATTATTTTGCAAAATTTCCAGTAAATCTAGATAGCAAAAACAAGCACACTTGAAACAATTGTCTAACAATACATGTATGAAAATTGTGATTATTATTATAGGTAATAAAAATGAGATACAAACCTGTCCTCGTCGCGCGAGTGACATAATAATTCTTAACAATAAGCGTCTTTTATTTGCTTTTATAAAACGATTATTGCAGGTTATATCTCATTCAATTTGAGGTTATGGACGCAACAGTACAGGGCTGTGTTCAGAATGGTTCAGAAACTTCGCCTAGGTGCATCTAGATATCATTTTATCCTTGTTTAACATTCGGTGAATAACAAGGATAACATGATATATCGTGAATTCCTGAACGCAGCCATGCATTTCAGGCCATTAGGGCTGCGTTCAGAAACTTTATCTAGATGCATCTAGATACATTGACGTAGGAATTCATGGACGGAGCATTTGCGGGTTAGATAGGCGAGGGGGGTAGCGAAATCGAGGTGAGGGGGGGTACTTCGACAAACCAATGACTTCGGTACATTTCGGTTACGTTCGGTAATATTCGACGCGTGCAGTCGTGCAGAGAGCAGATGGTTCCA